GTGTAGAAACGATATACTATAACGACTATAATAATGGATACATTTGAAAGTAAATTTTTATTTCAATAAAAATTGGTTAATATACTATGTTTTAACCAACAATATTTATAGTATCATGCTATGGCTCTACTAAACGGCCGACATCATAATATTACATAAATTAAAATTACTAAGTGAATATAGAGTATTTAAAAACATTTATGTTAACAGTAATATTTTTTATGTCATTCAATTCAATCAAATTGACACGGTGTACTGGACGTGGTAGAGGAAAGTCAGGGTGACACGTACAAAAACAACACACTTGATATACTGAATACTTTATTATGTACTTTTCATTACTGACAACTAGTTATATACGAACGGTGGTAATAGGTTGTACGCGGACGGAACAAGACAGCCGGCCCGGCCGGCGGCGAGGTCGGGTGTCGTTGCCGACGTCCGAGTCCCCTCCACCCGCCGTCCGACTGTAGCGCGTCGTGCGGGTGACAAGAAAGACGTAGCGGCCGATATTTCGGCGTTGCCGAAATACCGACCGCGACAAAATTAATAGTAAGTTATTAATAATATTAGTCTTACCATCTAGTCCTGCTCCCGCTGCTTCATCCATCCCTTCAATTGATCTATGAAGTAATTCTAAATAAAACAATTAAATTAATAATGACAAACAATAAATATTTTTATTTTATTTTCTCACCCAAGTTATCACGAGGCTCTTCCTCTCTTTCGTCTTCATTCAAGTCATCTAAAATCAAATAATAATTACTAGTTAATACAAAATGTTATATATTATATTAAACATAGTGTAGAAACGATATACTATAACGACTATAATAATGGATACATTTGAAAGTAAATTTTTATTTCAATAAAAATTGGTTAATATACTATGTTTTAACCAACAATATTTATAGTATCATGCTATGGCTCTACTAAACGGCCGACATCATAATATTACATAAATTAAAATTACTAAGTGAATATAGAGTATTTAAAAACATTTATGTTAACAGTAATATTTTTTATGTCATTCAATTCAATCAAATTAATAGTAAGTTATTAATAATATTAGTCTTACCATCTAGTCCTGCTCCCGCTGCTTCATCCATCCCTTCAATTGATCTATGAAGTAATTCTAAATAAAACAATTAAATTAATAATGACAAACAATATATATTTTTATTTTATTTTCTCACCCAAGTTATCACGAGGCTCTTCCTCTCTTTCGTCTTCATTCAAGTCATCTAAAATCAAATAATAATTACTAGTTAATACAAAATGTTATATATTATATTAAACATAGTGTAGAAACGATATACTATAACGACTATAATAATGGATACATTTGAAAGTAAATTTTTATTTCAATAAAAATTGGTTAATACACTATGTTTTAACCAACAATATTTATAGTATCATGCTATGGCTCTACTAAACGGCCGACATCATAATATTACATAAATTAAAATTACTAAGTGAATATAGAGTATTTAAAAACATTTATGTTAACAGTAATATTTTTTATGTCATTCAATTCAATCAAATTGACACGGTGTACTGGACGTGGTAGAGGAAAGTCAGGGTGACACGTACAAAAACAACACACTTGATATACTGAATACTTTATTATGTACTTTTCATTACTGACAACTAGTTATATACGAACGGTGGTAATAGGTTGTACGCGGACGGAACAAGACAGCCGGCCCGGCCGGCGGCGAGGTCGGGTGTCGTTGCCGACGTCCGAGTCCCCTCCACCCGCCGTCCGACTGTAGCGCGTCGTGCGGGTGACAAGAAAGACGTAGCGGCCGATATTTCGGCGTTGCCGAAATACCGACCGCGACAAAATTAATAGTAAGTTATTAATAATATTAGTCTTACCATCTAGTCCTGCTCCCGCTGCTTCATCCATCCCTTCAATTGATCTATGAAGTAATTCTAAATAAAACAATTAAATTAATAATGACAAACAATAAATATTTTTATTTTATTTTCTCACCCAAGTTATCACGAGGCTCTTCCTCTCTTTCGTCTTCATTCAAGTCATCTAAAATCAAATAATAATTACTAGTTAATACAAAATGTTATATATTATATTAAACATAGTGTAGAAACGATATACTATAACGACTATAATAATGGATACATTTGAAAGTAAATTTTTATTTCAATAAAAATTGGTTAATATACTATGTTTTAACCAACAATATTTATAGTATCATGCTATGGCTCTACTAAACGGCCGACATCATAATATTACATAAATTAAAATTACTAAGTGAATATAGAGTATTTAAAAACATTTATGTTAACAGTAATATTTTTTATGTCATTCAATTCAATCAAATTAATAGTAAGTTATTAATAATATTAGTCTTACCATCTAGTCCTGCTCCCGCTGCTTCATCCATCCCTTCAATTGATCTATGAAGTAATTCTAAATAAAACAATTAAATTAATAATGACAAACAATATATATTTTTATTTTATTTTCTCACCCAAGTTATCACGAGGCTCTTCCTCTCTTTCGTCTTCATTCAAGTCATCTAAAATCAAATAATAATTACTAGTTAATACAAAATGTTATATATTATATTAAACATAGTGTAGAAACGATATACTATAACGACTATAATAATGGATACATTTGAAAGTAAATTTTTATTTCAATAAAAATTGGTTAATATACTATGTTTTAACCAACAATATTTATAGTATCATGCTATGGCTCTACTAAACGGCCGACATCATAATATTACATAAATTAAAATTACTAAGTGAATATAGAGTATTTAAAAACATTTATGTTAACAGTAATATTTTTTATGTCATTCAATTCAATCAAATTGACACGGTGTACTGGACGTGGTAGAGGAAAGTCAGGGTGACACGTACAAAAACAACACACTTGATATACTGAATACTTTATTATGTACTTTTCATTACTGACAACTAGTTATATACGAACGGTGGTAATAGGTTGTACGCGGACGGAACAAGACAGCCGGCCCGGCCGGCGGCGAGGTCGGGTGTCGTTGCCGACGTCCGAGTCCCCTCCACCCGCCGTCCGACTGTAGCGCGTCGTGCGGGTGACAAGAAAGACGTAGCGGCCGATATTTCGGCGTTGCCGAAATACCGACCGCGACATTCTCCCCCGCCAACCCGCACGACGCCGTCTACCTACTTACAGTCCGTCGTCGTCGCTGGCCGGTAGTTCCGTCAGCATGTCTACATCCGGCAGCTCCTGGGCGCCTACCTGGAGTTGGAGGAACTCTTCCTCGTCCGTGTCCAGATTGATTAAATCGGCTACTTTTGGGTCGTCGCGCGGCGTTCCGCCCTGCTTGAGGTCGGCCTTCGTCCGCACTGTCCGGGTGTTCCTGGGAGGGATGGTCGACGTTCCCTTCGCCGGTCGTCGGGGTCCTGCCTGTGCGGCTGGTGGGGGTCTCACCACTCCCCGGTCCAAGGCGATCTGGATCAGTGGATGTTGCAGCAGGTCTTGATGGGTTGCCCCTACGGCCCACCTGGCCAGCGCCCGTCCGTCGTCAGGTCTCACCTCTGGACTCATTTCGGTTGGGGTCTCCCTTGTCGGCGTGGCCGCCGATGGCGTTTGGGTGCCCCTTTCCGCTCTTGGTTGGTTCTTCCCGTACCGTCGCCACACGGCCATCAGGTTTTCCCATGTAGGTATGCCCGATGCCCGCCCAGCGAGCCGGCGCGCATTCAACAGGTTCAGGGACGCCTGGTCCAGGATCAACTGTACCACATCAGATACGGTCCCCCTGTGGGGACGGTAGTCGCCCACCGATAGATTGAAATCTCCGTTGCTGTTGGAAGGCGTTGTTGTCGGCTGGTTACGTGAGGACATCTTGGTTTTCCTGCTATAAATACACAACATGTTATATGGAAAACGTATTGGTTATGGTGGGTAATTCCCCGATTGTCAATCATCGTTGGTTTTCCCATCTCGGGTTTGTTGTTCGTATATCGGTTTTCCCCCGTGGTGTTCGTTAGGGGGAAAAACCCGGAATGTTTTCGATGTGGTTTTCCCCGAGTCGGTAAAACCCCTGACCGAGTTTTGGGTTTAACCCAGCCCGCATGTCTGTGTGCTCGGACGTGTCGTGCTGATGATAAGCTAGGTGTGACCTGTCACCGTGTTGTCGGTCGCGCCACTCTCCCCCGCCAATCAGCACGGTGTGTTTGGTTGTTTCCTCTTGAATCTTCTGTCATTTTCGGAGTTGGAATTGGAAAAACCCGTATGTTGGGTTCATACCGTTTATATATTGTTTGGCGGAAACATTCGGTACTAGGTATTTCCCGTTCCGCGTGTGTGTTTGGACCTGGGGTTATCTTCCGGCATTGTCGTACTTTACCACTTATGGGTCCGTCCACTTCTTAGCCTCGTGTCTTCGTCTTTTGCTTGCTCTTTAGGTAGTTGTTGTTCTCTTCCCTTGCTTCGTGCCTTGGTTCGGGTTCCTTGCCTCCAACGGGGTCGGTGACGGTATGACTTTTGGTCGTCATTGGTTATTGTCATTCGACTTCGCTGTTGGTTGAGGTTGTGCCCTCCATTGGACTTGCTGGTGTGACGTCAATGTCAATTTAACCAGACTCACTTACTCCTAATGTCGGTACACTTGTGCCCTCGATTGGGTCAGCCGGTGTGACGTGATTGTCAATTTAACCGGTCTTGACGACTCCAATGTCGGTAACACCTGGTGCTTGCCTACTCCCCTATTTATCATAGTATTGAAGCGGCAGTTACACCGGTTGGGATACCCTTTTAAACCTTTTTTCACGTGGGTGGGGGAGGTACCTCTTACCTTTGTGAGCTCGGTGTTCATGGCGCGTCTGAAATGCCGTTGGCTTTGCGTCGCCTCCACCTTGTATAGACCGTCGGCCCGATTTTGGGCTTGTTCGTTGTCCATTGACTTTGATGTTATTGCTTCGGCCTTGATTTTTGACATCTACTGTTCGGGAGGGGTTTTCCCGACGTTCGTGATGTGTTGTTATTGGAAAAACCCGTTGTTGTGTTTTGGAAAACCCCGGTGTTGTTCGGTACCGGGTATTCCCCGGACTGGCTTTTTTGGTTTTCCCGCTTTGCTGGTAAAGTCCATGTTGTCCTGTGAGATGTTGGTTTCCCCTCTCTCTTTGTACTGCTGATACTTTGTTGACCTTTTCCTGCCGCTTTGGTGGGTGGTGGCTGTGTTGATCTTCCCTGCCACTTTTGTTCGATCCGGGAGTCTCGTCCGATTTTGGTCGTTGTGAGGACCCTTTCGTGATCTCCACGTTGCATTCCACCTGCGGGTGTATGGACCTGGGGTTTTTTCCGGTGTTACCGTACTTAGCCCCTTATGGGTCCGTCCACTACTTTGCCTCGTGTTACAGTCTTTTACTTGTTCTTTAGAATTTTGGCGTTGCCTTCCCTCGCTTCGTGACTTTGGTCCAGGTTCCCTACTTCCAACGGGATCGATGACGGTATGACTTTTGGTCGTCATTGGTTATTGTCATTCGACTCCGCTGTTGGTTGATTTTGCGCCCTCCATTGGATCTGCTGGTGTGACTTTTTTGTCAATTTAACCAGACTCACTGACTCCTAATGTCGGTTACGCTTGTGCCCTCGATTGGGTCAGCCAGTGTGACGTGATTGTCAGTTTAACCGGCCTTAACGACTCCAACGTTGGTAACACATGGTGCCTGCCTACTCCCCTATTTACCATAGCATTGGAGTGGCAGTGTCACCGGTTGGGATACCCGATTGACCCTTCGTCCACGTGCGCAGGGGGGATAAACCTCTAGATTCTTTCTCGGTGTTCCGGGCGCGTCTCGTTGCCGTTGGCTTCGAGTCGTACCCACCTTGTATAGACTGTTGAGTTGTAGTACTTTGGTCTTGTCAATTTTCAGCTGTAGTACGTTTGTCGTTGTTGTTCCTTGACTTTAATCGCATTGCTTCGGCGTTGATTCGCTGTTCGGGAGGGGTTTTCCCGAGGTTTGTGATGTGCCGATTGTTGTTGGTCTTGTTCCCTATTGTGTGGGTTTTGCCCGTATGTTTCGTCGCCGTGTTTTTCCCGACATCGTTATACGGGTGTTCGGTTCGGTCGTCGACTGCCCCGTCCCCGCCGATGCGAAACCTGTTTGTCGCGATTAACTATACGGGTATTCCCAGCGTTCACGGAAAGTGCCCTACGTGTTTTCCAAACGGCCCGTGGGTTTCTCCCAGTATCGTTTCTCACGTGGTTTTGGGGCTTCCCGAGATCCCCGAAATGCGTTATACTATGTTTTGTTGAGGCTACCCGTTGGTGGTTGATGCCCCTTTGTACGCTAGTGTTGTTGGTCAGACTATCCTGTCTCATACCCAGTACCATGCCTTTCCACGTGGTCCATAGACAAATGTTTGCTACTACACGTGGAGTACCCGTGGGATCACCCGTGATAAGTATTGTGGTTAATATATTATTGACTTACCTTACGGGCCACGAGATTCAAAATCCAAAAACCGACTGCGCCACTGACACGGTGTACTGGACGTGGTAGAGGAAAGTCAGGGTGACACGTACAAAAACAACACACTTGATATACTGAATACTTTATTATGTACTTTTCATTACTGACAACTAGTTATATACGAACGGTGGTAATAGGTTGTACGCGGACGGAACAAGACAGCCGGCCCGGCCGGCGGCGAGGTCGGGTGTCGTTGCCGACGTCCGAGTCCCCTCCACCCGCCGTCCGACTGTAGCGCGTCGTGCGGGTGACAAGAAAGACGTAGCGGCCGATATTTCGGCGTTGCCGAAATACCGACCGCGACAAAATTAATAGTAAGTTATTAATAATATTAGTCTTACCATCTAGTCCTGCTCCCGCTGCTTCATCCATCCCTTCAATTGATCTATGAAGTAATTCTAAATAAAACAATTAAATTAATAATGACAAACAATAAATATTTTTATTTTATTTTCTCACCCAAGTTATCACGAGGCTCTTCCTCTCTTTCGTCTTCATTCAAGTCATCTAAAATCAAATAATAATTACTAGTTAATACAAAATGTTATATATTATATTAAACATAGTGTAGAAACGATATACTATAACGACTATAATAATGGATACATTTGAAAGTAAATTTTTATTTCAATAAAAATTGGTTAATATACTATGTTTTGACCAACAATATTTATAGTATCATGCTATGGCTCTACTAAACGGCCGACATCATAATATTACATAAATTAAAATTACTAAGTGAATATAGAGTATTTAAAAACATTTATGTTAACAGTAATATTTTTTATGTCATTCAATTCAATCAAATTAATAGTAAGTTATTAATAATATTAGTCTTACCATCTAGTCCTGCTCCCGCTGCTTCATCCATCCCTTCAATTGATCTATGAAGTAATTCTAAATAAAACAATTAAATTAATAATGACAAACAATAAATATTTTTATTTTATTTTCTCACCCAAGTTATCACGAGGCTCTTCCTCTCTTTCGTCTTCATTCAAGTCATCTAAAATCAAATAATAATTACTAGTTAATACAAAATGTTATATATTATATTAAACATAGTGTAGAAACGATATACTATAACGACTATAATAATGGATACATTTGAAAGTAAATTTTTATTTCAATAAAAATTGGTTAATATACTATGTTTTAACCAACAATATTTATAGTATCATGCTATGGCTCTACTAAACGGCCGACATCATAATATTACATAAATTAAAATTACTAAGTGAATATAGAGTATTTAAAAACATTTATGTTAACAGTAATATTTTTTATGTCATTCAATTCAATCAAATTAATAGTAAGTTATTAATAATATTAGTCTTACCATCTAGTCCTGCTCCCGCTGCTTCATCCATCCCTTCAATTGATCTATGAAGTAATTCTAAATAAAACAATTAAATTAATAATGACAAACAATAAATATTTTTATTTTATTTTCTCACCCAAGTTATCACGAGGCTCTTCCTCTCTTTCGTCTTCATTCAAGTCATCTAAAATCAAATAATAATTACTAGTTAATACAAAATGTTATATATTATATTAAACATAGTGTAGAAACGATATACTATAACGACTATAATAATGGATACATTTGAAAGTAAATTTTTATTTCAATAAAAATTGGTTAATATACTATGTTTTAACCAACAATATTTATAGTATCATGCTATGGCTCTACTAAACGGCCGACATCATAATATTACATAAATTAAAATTACTAAGTGAATATAGAGTATTTAAAAACATTTATGTTAACAGTAATATTTTTTATGTCATTCAATTCAATCAAATTAATAGTAAGTTATTAATAATATTAGTCTTACCATCTAGTCCTGCTCCCGCTGCTTCATCCATCCCTTCAATTGATCTATGAAGTAATTCTAAATAAAACAATTAAATTAATAATGACAAACAATAAATATTTTTATTTTATTTTCTCACCCAAGTTATCACGAGGCTCTTCCTCTCTTTCGTCTTCATTCAAGTCATCTAAAATCAAATAATAATTACTAGTTAATACAAAATGTTATATATTATATTAAACATAGTGTAGAAACGATATACTATAACGACTATAATAATGGATACATTTGAAAGTAAATTTTTATTTCAATAAAAATTGGTTAATATACTATGTTTTAACCAACAATATTTATAGTATCATGCTATGGCTCTACTAAACGGCCGACATCATAATATTACATAAATTAAAATTACTAAGTGAATATAGAGTATTTAAAAACATTTATGTTAACAGTAATATTTTTTATGTCATTCAATTCAATCAAATTAATAGTAAGTTATTAATAATATTAGTCTTACCATCTAGTCCTGCTCCCGCTGCTTCATCCATCCCTTCAATTGATCTATGAAGTAATTCTAAATAAAACAATTAAATTAATAATGACAAACAATAAATATTTTTATTTTATTTTCTCACCCAAGTTATCACGAGGCTCTTCCTCTCTTTCGTCTTCATTCAAGTCATCTAAAATCAAATAATAATTACTAGTTAATACAAAATGTTATATATTATATTAAACATAGTGTAGAAACGATATACTATAACGACTATAATAATGGATACATTTGAAAGTAAATTTTTATTTCAATAAAAATTGGTTAATATACTATGTTTTAACCAACAATATTTATAGTATCATGCTATGGCTCTACTAAACGGCCGACATCATAATATTACATAAATTAAAATTACTAAGTGAATATAGAGTATTTAAAAACATTTATGTTAACAGTAATATTTTTTATGTCATTCAATTCAATCAAATTAATAGTAAGTTATTAATAATATTAGTCTTACCATCTAGTCCTGCTCCCGCTGCTTCATCCATCCCTTCAATTGATCTATGAAGTAATTCTAAATAAAACAATTAAATTAATAATGACAAACAATATATATTTTTATTTTATTTTCTCACCCAAGTTATCACGAGGCTCTTCCTCTCTTTCGTCTTCATTCAAGTCATCTAAAATCAAATAATAATTACTAGTTAATACAAAATGTTATATATTATATTAAACATAGTGTAGAAACGATATACTATAACGACTATAATAATGGATACATTTGAAAGTAAATTTTTATTTCAATAAAAATTGGTTAATATACTATGTTTTGACCAACAATATTTATAGTATCATGCTATGGCTCTACTAAACGGCCGACATCATAATATTACATAAATTAAAATTACTAAGTGAATATAGAGTATTTAAAAACATTTATGTTAACAGTAATATTTTTTATGTCATTCAATTCAATCAAATTAATAGTAAGTTATTAATAATATTAGTCTTACCATCTAGTCCTGCTCCCGCTGCTTCATCCATCCCTTCAATTGATCTATGAAGTAATTCTAAATAAAACAATTAAATTAATAATGACAAACAATAAATATTTTTATTTTATTTTCTCACCCAAGTTATCACGAGGCTCTTCCTCTCTTTCGTCTTCATTCAAGTCATCTAAAATCAAATAATAATTACTAGTTAATACAAAATGTTATATATTATATTAAACATAGTGTAGAAACGATATACTATAACGACTATAATAATGGATACATTTGAAAGTAAATTTTTATTTCAATAAAAATTGGTTAATATACTATGTTTTAACCAACAATATTTATAGTATCATGCTATGGCTCTACTAAACGGCCGACATCATAATATTACATAAATTAAAATTACTAAGTGAATATAGAGTATTTAAAAACATTTATGTTAACAGTAATATTTTTTATGTCATTCAATTCAATCAAATTAATAGTAAGTTATTAATAATATTAGTCTTACCATCTAGTCCTGCTCCCGCTGCTTCATCCATCCCTTCAATTGATCTATGAAGTAATTCTAAATAAAACAATTAAATTAATAATGACAAACAATAAATATTTTTATTTTATTTTCTCACCCAAGTTATCACGAGGCTCTTCCTCTCTTTCGTCTTCATTCA